CTGAATTAAATAAGACTTTTATTTTGAAATATCCGGTTACCAAAACAGGATGTCTCGTCACAAGTTCGTGAAATTGTCATTGACGTTGCGTGGCTCAGCTGGCTGCTTTGTTTAGATATCGGCATATGACATACTTCCATGTGTGGCTGTGAGATATATTCATTCTGAAGCTGAATTAAAGCAGTAGGCTAACTCGCTAATGGTGAACATGTGAGTTTGTTAATAAACCGACAGGCGAGGGAACGCAAAAGTTATTGCGAGGTAATGCAATACTTTTGCATGGGAACGCAAAATGAAAATAAATCTCCCATGTCCCCTAGTGGGCTCCGTAGCCATGTGAATAGAGAACTTCAATCCCCAAAAAACATTCAAGGATTTTCAAGGACAAGTGTAATTTTTGGCTATTTTCATAAACTTTCCAGGGCCTTGAAATCATTTTTTCAAATTCACAAACTTTCAAGGATTTCAAGGACCCATGGGAACCCTGAATAAAACATAATACTTACAGGCCTGAGTGTTGTCAGGCTGAAGATCCTGCAATATCTCTTTCTTCTTCATGATTTCGTCCTGAGCCTCATTTAACTGGACCCTGAAAAAAAAACCAAAATAAAACTACCCCGTGTTAAAGAACACAAAACATTTATTTTACATTCACAGAATACATGTGCACAATCATACTCACATATGAGCATCTAGTTTCCGCTTCAGATTTGACTAAAAGAAAGGGAAATGTAATTGTAGACGGAAAACAAAATACATAAAACACACTGCAAGAGCTGTAAGATTTTCATTACATGTTGAGTAAAAAAACTTTGGTAAAGGAGGATTCTGTTTGTTGAGACACTTACATTGTCAGGTTTGGTTGCCTGAATTTGCAGAGCCTTCTGAAGATCTTCAATCTGCTGCTGAAGCTCACTAACTTGCTCTCGACTCAATCTGAAGATTAGGCAAACAGAGGAAGGTTAACAAGGCATTTATTATAAGTATTATCAGTATTTATTATCCGTTTCACTGTCTAACCCCTGTAGATGTGGCCGACCTACACTGCATTCACAAATGTTTTTGGGATAGACCCCATATTTCAAGTAGGGGTGCTATTTCAAAAGTTGGTGTCTGGACATACAAAAAAGCTTGTAGCTCCAAAACTATTTAACATAGAAACTTCAGACTGATTTGCTGTTTAGCTCTGATAAAGGACTATCATTTCACGACATCATTATGTTTTTCTATGCAGCTGCCACCTTAGCAGTAGGCAAAATAATYAAAACACATGACTGAACATTGTTATTTCAAGCCTGTATATTAGGGTGGTCCTCTACAGTRTGCCAAAAATTAAAATGTGACTTTTGAAGGTGCTTCAAAACAAAATTGTTGCTTTTGCAAAGAAAATCCTTTGTACCACATTTTGTGTCGATACAACTTTTCTAACCACTGCTGCATGTGGGGTGAAAATTAGAATGGTTTGTGCATGCCAACATGCTGCTTAGATATGAAATACAAAGTGGCAGCATAGTGGCCCAGCTGGTAGATGCCTCTCAGCAAGAAGGTCGCCGGATCCAATCCCGGACCGGGGACCCTTCTGGGTAGAGTTTGCATGTTCTCTCCTTGAGTGTGTGGGTTTTCTCCAGGTACTTTGGCTTCCTTCCAAAAACAAAATTGGTAACTCTAAATTGAATTGTCCCCATTTGCGTGGCCCTATGATGGATGCCCAAACATCTTCCCCAAAATGAAAATCTATCCAGGGGCTGGAGCCAAATGCAATAATATAATTCATGAAATACAAATACTTCCTATGTACATGCCTTTTATTGTAATGAGGTCTGCCATGTCCTGCTGGAGTGTGACATGATTTGTTTGTGTACAAACTAATACAGTATCAGAAATATATATATAGTATGTGTATATACAC